TAGAAGCATCATGCAGATAATTTGGACTTGATAATTACATTCCACCCATCAGATTCATCACTGTCCAAAACAAGTGACCCCATTTCAGAGAGAACATATTATACGCTTTCGACATGTACATTTGCAACTGCCATATCTCTGGTTTTTCCATTTTCCACTACCACCCTCCGAAAATAAGGTAAAAAACGAAGGACATTAAATCTTGCTCAGGAGTCCTGACAGTCGGAAAAAGAATAGGTTCCCATAAATCAGCTTGCAGTAGGAGATAAATTTTCATTGCCTATTCGGACACGATTAGGTAAAGGCCTGGCGATGAGACCGTCAACAGCCCAGCCCGCAATCTCGCCATCGTTTTTGACGTGGTCGAATTCCCTTTGTGTGTATTCTAAAGATATTTGAAGCCTTGACCCAGGCCTGCAGTCGTCAACGATGGTTGTTGATTTGATTCCGGCATTTTTCTCCAGCCAGTACAGATAACACACCTGAAACAATGACTTCAACATGTCCTGCTTTGACGACCTCTCTTTGAGTGCAACCTGATCCGAGATCATAAAACGAAATAATAGTGATCAAGATTGAACTAATGTTGCTAGTCATGTAATCTTTCAAAAATAGCAGTGGCTACACTAGTGACAAAGCCATAACAACAAATAATGATATTTTACGGTATTACAGAAACTGAAAAACAGGTTAATATAATTATTTTATTACTCCATTCTTCTTCTTGCTTAATTTCTTTAGCTCAAGCACATATAGGTTCAAACATCAATAAGCCACCGCATAAGGGGAACTGCGAACTCGAGTTCTAAAGTTGCTAAAAGTTATCCGACTGTCATGCTTGAACAACACCATAAGAGCAGACTTATTTGTGCCATAACAAGGATACTGCATTCAGGCCTAATACTTTTCATGAAGAGTGGACCAATCATCGTAATTAGATGCAACTATGTAATCTTAGGATATAAAAAGTAAGAAAAAAGAAAGAAAGAGAAAAAATCAAACAGAGAGTTAGAAGAAAGTAATTTGAATTAAATGGAGAATACATATACATACACAATATCTTCCATTTAGCTCTGCCAGGATATAGCCCTCGTCCTTGTATAATTTTAAGAGAGCAATAGCCTCTTCCCTGCTCTTCACGACGTCAGAAAGCTTAGAGCCCAGATGTAATCGGCGGTCTATATGAGAAGCGGCATCTTTTGCATCAGTAGATAGATCATCACTTTGTTCCTGGATTGTATGAGAGATTAGTAACATTAAAAGGGGGCAAAAATATTTTGGTACATGAAGATATCCTACCAAGTTTACTCATCCATATCTCCATTTAAGTAGTCATTGTTCTGAGAAACAAAAACAGGCCAGCCGGTTTGATCTGTTGGACCAAGAACCATTGAAACTATAGCTTACATGTACCAATTATTTTTTATTATTATTAAAGATCTCTAGAAAATTAATTTCTGATGGTTTTACTTATTTAATTATCTAAAATGTCTTATATTTGAAATTATACATTAATTACCACCATTCCGGCTATACGGCTGAACCATTGAGCCTATAGCTTTCTGGTTTTCAGAAACTTGTGTATGAGAAGTTTGGAAACCTGAATTGCTGAAAGGTATAAAGAACTGACATCTTCTGCAACATATTGGATGAGAATCCACAATACTGCATTAATGCTACTAAATGAACCTCATAATTTTATAATCTTGATTGGGCATCATACCCTTCCATTTGTAATGCTATTTTTAGCTGAAGTTGATCACGGTAGTAACTAAATCTAAAACACGAAACCAAAGAACCATTGGATTCAGCATTTCTTTATATACTTACAACATATTACGTAGATATTTTTAGAGGAAGTGTTTCGAGTATGTGGATAAACACATACATATGAGCAATAACTGATAAAGCATCTGTTTTCTTCAGATTTTAGTGCATTGCAAAATGAATATCTAATTTACACTTCACTACAAGGTAATGCTATGTCCCGCTAGCTATTTTGATAATGAAACTACTCAGTTTTTGTTAAAATCAACCATACCCTAATTGGACTGGTAACTTCTTACTGTTGACTAATGCTTATAAGCCACATTAACTATATAATATAGAGCTGCATTCTATCTTCAAGCTAGGCATAGTTGAATGAACTGAAATAAACAAAAGGACATACTTCGGGTGTGGGCTTTAGAATCAAAAGAGGAAAGGCTGGAAATAATGGCTCCTCATCATTGACTTCTTTGACAGATGGGACCAGTCCGCTGAGCAGATACTGACTAAAGACTAAGCCTGTTGACATTTGGGTCAAGATCAGACACCAGTTCCTGATGTCAAATGCATAATGAAGTATGCCACTACAAGCACATAAATTTGAAGCAGTAAACTCAGAAGGCACATAAAGTTCATATAGGGAATGTGAAAAATAACGAGGCCTATTCGGTTTGCACATCTTTCCTCTACAAAAATCCTTCTTATATATAATTTGGGCCTAAGTGGCAGCTTCGCGTGCTTCTTAATCTTAGCTCGGAAAAAATTACTAATTTTTTATACCAAATAAATTAGGCTTAGATTACCAAATACACATCTATATATATATAATTACTAGCTCAAAACATTTAATAAAACCTATTTAATTTTACCTATGTGGCAATTTAATAATTTTCCCTCCAAAAACCGTTACATTTTGATGTATTTAATCTTTCATTTAATCATTAAATAATTAATACTCATCACTTCAAAATTACAAAAATCATTTTAAATTTTTTATTAATGACAGTTGACCATATAATGTGTTGACCGTATAATGTGATTAGATGTTATTATTGTTGTTACATTTAATTTTTTTCTTAAAAATAAAAAATATATTTGAAATTCCTAAATAAATAATAAATAATTCACAAATAAAAGACGTACCAAAATATACATTACATCTAATCAGATAAACGCAATTTTAAAAAAAAAATATTCCAACTCTTTTAATTGTAAATTTTGTCTGCAAAAAAGTGAAAGAAAAATAATTAATCATTATATGCATACAAACTCACAATAATTTATTTATATCTGTGCATTGTCGAATACTAGTATTTGATATATTTAAACTATTCCACATAAATCCATTTATTTTTTCTTTTTTCTATTATGTGAATGTTATCTCACTTTCCAAATTTTGTCCTCCGTCCATATTATTTTCTAGGTTTTGATAAAACTATTACAACTAAAACTACTGATATTGTATATAAATTAGTTTTCAAAATTCAAAATAATATTGTAAATTCAGTAGTTCTTTATTATAAGCACTTAAATAATTATTTTTTCAACTTGAATAAAATAAATAAACACATTTATCTTTCATTTTTTGTTGTACATTTAATTATTTTATCAAACACCGGTGTGGTACACAGGTTTTTGCTAGTAAGTAAATATAGCAATATGTTAATACGCCAAAATGACACTTATAGCATACTGGATGTTGTAAAATATAATCACCTACTGGCACGAGTCTTACAGTTTCTGATAGGTCCGGTCCAATCACAGTACTGAGTTATAAAAGGTTGACTACACCTAGTCAATTCATCCAGGCGATCTAACTGCCTTTCTAACTTCTATTTCTGTTTTTATATCACCCTCATGTAAGAAATTTATGACATGCCACAATAGAGCTCCACGTACCAAACTTCTCGAACAACTTCACAGGATAAATACCAGTAATTAGGTTATGACCACATGAACAAACACTGAATATGGCGTATCAAACC